TACTTTTCAATCCTCTTCTAAGACTGCCTAAGTGTTTTCCTAAATTTTTTTTCACTTTAATGTGCCTTTATCATATAATCTTTGGATTCATTGACACCATATTTAAACTGGCAGTCTCCAAGGAGTGTTTTCTTGCTTCTATTTCATGTATTAGTGGCAGGTTGTTGCTGTTTTTTTGGGTGTTTTTTTAAAATTTATTTTTATTTATTTTATATATTTTTTAATTTTCCTCCCTCATTTTTTAATGTGCCTGTGTGCTAGAAGTGTGCTTGTGTTTTGCAGTAACACATCTCTGTAATGAGCTTTCTATCTCTTTTCTTGATCATTCATGTTTTCTAGAGTAGCCTTTTACAACTCTTTCTCTGGTACTGATAAATCCTATGTGTCTGATCTAAGTGTCAGCTGCTGGCAGGCTGGGGGGGAGGAGGGATGACTCTGCCTATGCCTTGCTGCTGCCTGCTGCTGATCTTGCCCCAGTCCACTGCTACTGTCCCCTGCCAGAGAGTGGCTACCGAGATATATTTCAAAAAGAAGTATATACTTTGAAGGAAGTGTGGCCAGCAGGTCGAGGAAAGTGATGCTGCCCTTTAACTCTGCTTTGGTGAGACTGCACCTGGAGTATTGCATACAATTCTGGAGCCTCCAACACAAGAAAGTAATGGAGCTCCTGAAACAAGTCCAGAAGAGGGCCACGAAGATGGTCAAAGGGCTTGATCACTTCTATTATAAAGACAGGCTGAGAGAATTGGGGTTGCTCAGCAACCTTCAGAAGAGAAGGTTATAGGAGCCTTCCAGCACCTGAAGGGGACATACAGGAAAGAAGATGAGTCTTTTCACCAGAGAGTGTAGCAATACAACAACGGGTAATCGTTTTAAACTGAAAGAAGGTAGATTTAGGTTGGGTATTAGGAAGACATTGCTCACCATGAGTGTGGTGGGGCACTGGAATAGATTGTCCAGGGAGGTGGTGGCTGCCCTCTCCCCAGAGGTGTTCAAGGTCAGGCTGGATGTGGCTTTGTGCAACCTGGTCAAGTGTGAGGTGCTCATAGCAGGGAGTTTGGAACCTGATGATTTTTAAGGTCCCTTCCAACCTTAACCATTCTATGATTCTATGTATCCATTAGCCCAGCTATTTTTATGTTCTCATCTAACCTTAAATTCCTCTTGTCTGTTAAGGTTTAGAAGTATGTGGAAATGGTTACATAGTGTCTCTCAGGCCTGATCTCACCAGGATTTAGGAAATGGCTCTACTACAAGTTCTTTATTTCCTGTGACTCAGAAGAGCAGGTCCAGCAGCTCAGGCCAGCCTCAGAAAGCAGCAGGGATTGCTTAGCTCTTCCTAGGGCAGCATCAGAAGCTACGGCCTTTCTTTCTTGTAAAATACACCAGCTCCTTCATAAGCCCCCTTGTCTTCACGGCACAGAGGAAGGGTTTGAGTGGGGCTCAGTGGTTGCCCTACAGGGTACTGCAGCTATATGGCCATCAACAAGACTCATCTTTTTCCACCTTATTCCAGCTCCTGTTCTTCTTAACCTCAGCAATCACATCTGTTAGTATTTTGGAGCACAACATCACACGATAGGAGAGCTAGACTTTCTAAAATTTCTTTCTAAAATGTAGCTTTTCTCCAGTCTGCAAGGCTGGTTCGTACTACTGTTATCTGTCCTGCTGTGCTTGCTGTGGTCCTTTCCTGCAAATGTATGCACAAAATGTTCATGCAGCTCTTCTCTGCAGCTACAAATGCTTTGCAGAAGGAAGTGAGAGACAATAATGATTTTATTTTGTTGCATTTTCTGTCTTGGAGAGTCTGGTTAGGCATGAATCAGTTAAAAAACATTTAAAAATGATCAAGTTTTTCTAGATAAACATGTCACATAAAATTAGTCATATTTTAAGTAGGTATAAACACTTCGTAGATAATATTTTTGTTATTCTGCTTCCATTCCTCATTCTCTGAACCTCATTTTGAATGACTGTGTGTGCTTTGCAGCTAGAGCAGCTCTTTCCAGCCGCAGCATTTTGGCAAGTCTGCAGCCCCTGGGCTCTCCTAGACATCCATACCAGTCTCTGCCTGGGGCAGCACTGTGCTTCACACCACAGAAGTTCTTCTGAAGAAGCCCCATGGCCCATTTTGTCTCACGTGTAATACAGAAGATTAGATCCAAAATGAGTTAGATCTAATCTTCAGATCTCCAAGCATATTCAAACTGTTAAATTGTAGTGGGAACATCCTGTTGGCTGTTAGGAGCTCAAATGCCTCTGTGGACATGGGCTGTAAGCACTTCAAATGTAAATAGAACAGAGCCTAGGAAGTGCTCTGATGTCCAGCATCAATGCAAAAATGAAATGGCAGTGGGACAGGTGGTATCAAGCTGGGATTTTTCTTCAAAAATTAAACTGAAGTGAATTTCAGACCTTTTCAGGTGCTAGCTCTTTGCACTCAGTATATGAAAGCTCAACACATGATCAGAAAAACACAATGTGCTCTGCCTGTGTTGTCAGTTATTAATTGAAATAACTAAAATTTGGAGGAAAAATCACATTTGGGAAAAAAATCACAGAGCAGAGAACATAAGGGACATGCAGAGTAAGGAGAGGGCCTGGATAGCAGTGAAACAGTAGGAATTGGACAAAACCAGATTCCAATTGGAGAGAAACACTCTCCAAGGGGTTGGCTGCCCAGCCTTGAGACAGGCCAGCAGGACACCTGCAGGACAGATGAAAGGGGTGGAAGCACTCCCCACAACTTATTGTGGTTTCACATTGGATGAACAGCTCTTTTTGTTTTTCAGAGCACACCTTATGTTAAATCTAAGTTAACGACAGAAAAGGTCAAAAATTTTTTTCAAACTTTTCTGGAGCACAACTAACTTAATATTTTAACAGTTGGCAGCTGTGGTAATTACTTTTAGATTATACCTGAAGTCTGTTGGAATCTAATTATTCTGATCTATGAACCAGGTAATTAAGATAAAAACTCCCACATTTTCTTAGACCTCATTAGTTTATTTCCTTTGAAAATTGTTAGCTAATGATGGTACATTAAAAGTTTATCCATAAAATGACAATGAATAATTAAAACCTTTGTCCTGGGACATTAAAGGACAGAATAGTGTTTAACTGCTCAATGTCTTGATAATTATTTCTTAATTTTCAGCGCAGGTATCATGCAAGTTTGGGGAAAAAGGACCAATCAAACCAGAAAATGGCACAAGACACAAATAATTTTCTTTTCCTTCATTTACTTGGCAAATACTTCAGGAGGTGTGAAGCCTCTAGAGGAGGTGATGTTTCTCCCTCTGCCTGCGGCTTGACAAGCAGCACAAAGGAACACTGAGGGCTTGTGCCCAGTGGGCACAGAACCCAGCCTGGGGTCACCCCACAGCAGCCACAGCTGGCAGCACTCCCCTGCACCGTGCTGCTGCCTTGGCAGGAGGGTGGAATTGAGGGCAGCCTCAGAATGTGCCCGCTGGAGGGTCCTGGCTGGAAGGGCCCTTGCTCTGTTGGCACTGGAGTTGCAAGAGCTTCTTTCAGTCACTCTGGTGCTGGGGAAAAAAGCTGGGAGTCTGAATCTCCCCCCTTAATGTCTATGGAAAAGCTTTGCCAGTTGTGTGTGTGTCAGGACAGTTATCACAACACAGGCTACAAATGACATTTAGCATGTGAGTACACGAGAAGAAAGCCCTGTGCTCCATCCAGCAGGAGAACAAGTGACTCATGCATCCGTCATTCTGAGTGAGGGGTATGGAACAGAGATACCAATCGAGATGTTAAGTGCCATAGAAGCTACGGGGAAGACCTAAAATGGTGGCAAAGATTTCCCTTGTTTTGAGTTAGAAGTCTAAGGCTTGTGTCATTTTCAAGAATGCTGTTGTGCAAGCTATAATCTGACAAGATGCAGCAGGGAGTGGCTGTGTTGTCATCCTCTGCTCCCCAACACAGAGAGGTGTCTCTAATCATGCTTCCTCTCAGGGGCAAGTTTTCGTAAGGATGAAGGATCCAAGTCAGCAGATTTCCAAGGAAATATCAACCCCTGGCTGACTACAGGACCCCTGTCCCACTTCCCTACAACGCTGATGGCAACTTACGATAATTAATTCCCCATATGCATCATCACTCAGAAGACCAGGATCAGCATCTGGGTCTGAGTGTGCCAGGTGCTGGGAGGACACACAAGGCAAACACATCTCTTCTTCAGTAATAAAATCTAATGTATGCTGTGACAAGAAGGGTTAGACATGGGGGACTGGAAAGGCAACCCGTGGCAATACAGACTTCGTAATTGCATAAATGCCTAGATAGACCAGTGTTTTCTTGAGTTAAGTGAAATGAATCAAATACCATAAATCTCTGTTGGTTGTGTAAAAAGCTGCTACAGAATAAGCTAATTTGCTTCAGGACTTCTTAGGGCTGCCACACTCTTGCTGAAAAGCAGCACATTGACATGATCCATCTGTACTCAAGTATTTAAAAGTCTGAAAGATTCTCAGTTGACTGCAGTTGCTCTTTGGTGGAAAACAGCTGAGGCACTGAGTTTGGATCAGAACTTCAAATAAAAGTTTCAGATGATCATCTGTTAGACCACCAAAGACCTGAGTAATTATGTATCTGGTGGGATCCCTGTTTACAGAGAAATAATTAGTCTGAAACAGAAAATAATTTGCCTTTATTTAATTTTGTTCCAATAATTAAACACTATTTATGAAGCCCAAAAAAGGAATAAAGGAAGATTTTCTGTGGGGCATATTATTTATAAGGAAATGAGTTAAACAAATGAGATAATTTGGAAAATTAAGGATAAATATATTGATTCAATGTGAGAGATGCACACATGGCTACTCAGGAAATCCTGCTGTAAGAAATTACCAAGGCCAGATTACCAGACACGTATCTGCTGAAAGTTTAAATCAATAGATGTTGGAACTGCTTTTTCTCCAGAAACTGGGCACCATCAAATCCGCCCCTTTTGAATCATTATATATCCCCATTGAATCAAACTTCTAGCTTGAAATCAAGTCCTCAATCAGATTTCGGCCCAGTATTCTTCCTTCTTCAGTAGACATAACCTTTCTCCAGAGCTTCAGCATCAGTCCTCCTTGGAAAGAAACAAAACAGAATGTTGTCAAATTAACACGAAGCACATGAAGATCACTGCACACAAGGGATGAAGCACACATCTGGCAACATACACCCACCACTGTCCTGTGGACAATGGAACATAGAAGGAGCTGGAGCCTGCTGATGGAGTAATAATTGCTTACAACTGTGTAGGAAGCCACAGGCCATTCATTCTACTTAGGAACCTTTGTATCAATAGTCAGCTTGACTTGCTGCCTTGTCACCAGTGATGCAAGTAAAAATGATTGAAGGTATATTATGGCCTTGGTCTGCAATTGCACATAGCTTCATGGCTTATGAAGCAGTGGCTTGGTAGTTACACTCATGTATGTCTTTCTTTTTACTCAAAATCAACCAGGAATTTGCATTTCTGTCAGCTAAGACCTCAAGCTGAATAAGAAAATTATACTAATAGTTTCAATCCAAGCAATGAGAAGAGGTTCTCTAAGAAGTGTGCCTGGCCAGTCTGACATTAGGACCAGTTCGCAGGATAGTAATTGTCTGCTCCCAACTCCTCTCAGTGATGATCTTTATAGTGGATAAAAGGTCCACAGAGAAAATCTGAAGTTAAAAAAAGTCTACTAGAAAACCAAGAGAAATTTATTGTCCTGTAGAACACAGTTATGTATAAAACTGACAACAGTGGAGAACTGATTCTGCACAGTATTATACAAGGGACATGAGGAGTTTAGAGAAGCCAGCAAGTGGTCTGCTTGCTTGGGAGGACTGCAAGAAAGCTGACAGGTTTGAAAAAAGGTCTCAAATGACAAAACATCTGCTCTTCTTCTTTTGAATATTGGTGAGGGGCAGAGCATAAAATGCAAAACTTCTGACTTTGAGTCAGAGAAGCTCAGCATTAAATACATGAGTTCATGAGTGCATGAGTAGAGAAGCTTTAGAGGTAGCAGAGCACTCTCTCAATACAGCTCCCTGCTGTACCGGCAGAGGCAGCTAGAAGAAAATAAAAAGTAATCAGACTCTGAATCAAGAAATCAAATCTCAGTCTGGGTTGGACGAGTACTAAGAGGTACTGAGACACTTTACCTGCTATTGAAGCTTGCAGCATCAGAAGATGACTCTGCATCTCACAAAATGTATTTAGAAGTTTGAGACTCTATAAAACCAGTATGCCACATTTTTGTCATCTGAGTTTTGTAGCAACAGGATCTAGTGTTTCAGATCCCCACTGGGGCTGTGGATCCTGACCCAAGTCAAAGTTAGTGCAAAGCTCCTTTTCTGATCTGCAAAGCAGTCACCAGGTTCAGTTGTCTATCATTTAACTCCCAGCTGAATGCAAATCCCATCCCCTTAAAGCAGAGTCAGGGAAATCTCCAGCCTGCAAAGCCAGGGAATTCAGCTATGGATTTCATTATGGCTGCATCTGCATGAAATTTCTTTATCCCTCTCTTCCCTTCACTGTGTCCAGCATTCATCTGGTCTGCTGCTCTGGTGCTCTGTTCCCCTTGTGCTGCCCTGAAGGTCTTGTTGGTCTTTGCTGTGCCCTCCTCCACTCCTGGAGGTGGGTCAAGGAAACCTTAATTGTGTCACAGATTGCCAGGCATGGGATGGAGCTGTTGAGATCCTTATTCAGACTGTGAGGCAACCCTTGTGCTATGTGGAAGGTGCGAAGGAGGCGCTCTGTGATGTGAGGACGCTCTTTTGTAACCTTGAACAGCTTCCCTACACAGCCTTTTTCAGCTAGAAATACAGACAGGGAGAGAATTTTCACTGAACAGAAGAAGATCACAAATACCATGGCTCTAGATGTTACTTTTACAGTGTACTTTAATATTTTATGTTCATTTAAAGATTTAAAATAGCGTTCCTTCTTAAAGGACAAGGTAAAAATAATCCAACCCAGAGATACTGACGAAGGAACCGAAACCTCAGCTCATTGTAATTCTGTATCTCACCACTGGATGGTGATGCACAACCTATTTAAGTGAAAGTCCAGAACTGTGTAAGGATAGTTTTGCTAGGACAGATGATATTTTGCTAGGATTATCTGAATATTCCCTGCTAGACTAAAGATTGAGACAAAAACCAAAACCAGAACACCTGCGGATACACAAACTGCTGTTCACAATAATCTGGTGCATTTGTTTTGTTTTGTTTTGTTTTGTTTTACAATCTCAACTGATTTAATAACTTAATTTACAGTTTTTATGATTTCAGATATAACTAGAGAAACACAAAACAGTCTCTGTGTTTTTAAACTTCCTGTGAAAAATAGGGGAGAAAAAAGGGTAAGATCATGTGTTCCAACAAATATTGCATTTCTCTCTTGTGAAATCCTGGCTGCATATCATCAGCATTATCCCACTGCTTGAGATAACACACCCTTGCTGATGTGGTGCTTACTTATGGTTGTATTTTTAGTACTGTAAATTGTTAGCATCTAGGAAGTGATTATACTATTGTATATATATTTTTTAAACCCCAGTGTGTTTATAAAGAAAATGGTAAAGTAAGATATTAAATATATGAAATACCTGTGGACTACAAATATTTTTAGGTTGGGCTTGTACCTGTTAATCGATTTGCTTTTTGAAGAGCTCTCAGTGAAAACAGGACAGTACTTTGCTGCGGACTGAAGTCACTAATGTTTGAGGGGTCATCATCCCCTTCAATGAGCATCCTCGGGGGCAGGAAAGCCTGGAAGTGGTTTGTGTTCTGTAAATCTGTAGAGAAGTGTGTGGCTGCAATGAAATCTACAGCATTAGCCCAGTCTACACCAAAATTTGCTTCAGGATCAGAGAAGTATTTTAATCTGAAAGAGAAAAAAAACCCAAAATGTAACATAATGAAATCCACTGTAGAACACATTAGTCTATAATTCATCTCGAATGTATTTTGTTTGGTGTGAAATCCTGAGTGGTTGTAGTGCCAAAGTGACTTAAAGTCTCCTTCAGCATTTTACACCTAAGTTCTCCTGGCAGTGCTTCTCCTGTCGAGCCTAGCCACAGCTCCTGACTCTGCCTGAAGCTCCCAGAAAGGAATCAGCATCTCACGTTAAGCCCACAGCTTGCCCACCCATTGCAGCCTGGGCAGCCATCTCTTCCTGGTCATCCTGTGCTTTGAGAGCAGAAGTCTAAAGACTAGAGTCCTGATGCAAGAAAGTTCATGCAGAATTTATTGGGATACTGTCCTGGTTTGATCTATGATTAAGCAAATTTTCCTTTTAGTGATTTTGTCCTTCAGTAAGCTCTCTTTTAACTATCAGAAAGTTTTTGAGCTAGTGGACTGATAACGCTGAATGTTTATGTTACTGCTGAGACGCCAAGGTCATTTTGCTCTGCAGCCTCAGATGCTACAGGGAGCAGAAGTCATATCTGTAACTCTCCTGTAGGGAGGAGTGGTCTAGATGGACAGCAAAATTGACCAAAGTATTCCATTCCATAAATATATCTACATAAACTCAGTGTAAGGTCATGGAACTTCCTTCCCACTCCTTCCATTCTCTTCTCTCCATGACCAGCACCCAGAGAGGACTCCATCTGTGCATCACCATTGATCCCTAGGCTTGTGTGTTCCTGAGCCTCACAACTTTACCCTCAGCTCCTGTCTGCCCTGCTGCTATCTCTGGCAGCACTCCAGGATATTTTGGGACTGCTCACACTAAGGAGAGTGCCCCAGGAGTTGCTGGGGGTGGGGGAGGCAACAGAGATGTTGCAAATTCCTGAACATACTTCTATATAATTGTGCATATTTTCTTTTGTCATTAGTGTTTGATTAAAGCTGTCTAGTCTATTTTTCAATCCAGAAAGTCTCTCTCCCTTTATTATCTCTCTCTTTTCCCTACCTGGGGGGGGTGGAGGAGGGGTGGAAGGGATTGAGAGCATTATTGTTGCTGGTTTAATCGCCAATCCTGAGTAAAACTGTGACATATACTCTCATTTCAAAGAGGCATGCAGGTGGCAAGATCCCCCCTGCTCCCCTCTCATCCCAGTACCTGTCCTTGAACTTGGGCAGTGCATAAGCAATGGAGCTGACATGTGCCCTCCACATGAGACGAAGGGCTTCATCCATTTCAAAGGAGGAGAAGACTGCAGGGCTCTTGGCTTTGTGTTCTGTAGACAACAGGTACTACAGCAACAGGGAGGAAAAAAGGCAGAGAAATGAGGGGAGGTTTAAATCAGATTAATTTTTCAGACTTATGTACATACCTCACAAAATAGTAAGTTTGCAAGATAAGGGAAATTGCTTTTGAGTAGATAGAATGTGTTGTTTTGTAAGTAACTATGATGTCTAACTTAAGGAGAAAAATATGATTAATAGTGATTTATAAAGTGAATAAATACAAATCAAATGGTATAAAAACTGGAAAGATACAGATTCAATGGATGGACCACTCATTGGATAAGGAACTGGATGGATGGTTGTACTCAAAGTCTGGTAATCAACAGCTCAATGTCCAAATGGAGACCTGTGACAAATGGTGTTCCTCAAGGATCAGTACTTGGACCAGTGCTATTTAACATCTTTGTTGGTGACATGGACAGTGGCACTGAAGCACCCTCAGCAAGTCTGCTGATGACACCAAAGTGTCTGGTGAGGTTGACAAGCTGGAGAGATCTTGACAGGTGCAATCTGTGTGAAGTTCAATAAGGCCAAGTGCAAGGTCCTGTACCTGGGTCAGGGCAATCCCAAGCACAAATACAGGGTGGGTGGAGAATGGATAAAAAATAGCCTAAGGGAGAAGGACTTAGGGGTGATGGTGGATGAGAAGCACAACAGGAGCTTACAATGTGCACTTGCAGCCCAGAAAGCCAACTGTGTCCTGGGATGCATCAAAAAAAGTGTAGCCAGCAGGTTTAAAGGAGCTGATTCTCCCCCTCTTCTCAATTCTCATGAGGCCCCACCTGGAGTATTGTGCCCAATTCTGGAGTCCCAAACATAAGAAGGACATGGAGCTCCTGGAGAAAGTCCAGAGGAGGCCACAAAGATGGTCTGAGGGCTCAAGCACCTCTCCTATTAGGACAGGCTGAGACAGTTTGGGCTGTTCAGCCTGGTGAAGAGAAGGCTTTGGGGGGACCTCATAGCGTCCTTCTAATTCCTGCAGGGAGCCTACAGAAAAGCTGGGGAGGGACTTTTTTTGAAGGCCTGTAGTGCGAAGAGGTAATGGATCAAAACTGGAGGAGAAGAGGTTTAGGTTAAGGAAGAAATTCTTGGCTGTGAGAGTGGTGAGACACTGGAACAGGTTGCCCAGAGAAGTTGTGGAAGCTCCATCCCTGGAATGGGATGGAGGCCAGGTTGGATGGGGCTCTGAGCAACCCGGTCTAGTGGGAGGTGTTCCTGCCTATGCAGGGGGGTGGAAACTAGATGATCTTAAAGGTTCCTTCCAACCCTAACCAGTCTATGTTTCTATGGAATATCCTCACTGAAGTTAACTGGAGTTGCCATTCTTTGTCTTCAATGGAGTCAACATTTTATCTGAATAATTTAGGCATTTTGTCACAATAATTCAATGAACTTTTGTAGCTGAATGCCACAGAAGCTTGTCTGAAGTACTGGATTCCTTGAAAATCTTTTTAAACTCTTTTCGCCACAACATCCTAAAGATTTTTCAAAAATAGGAAAAATTATCCTTAATGATTATCATTGTGGCTTTTTGAGGGGTGGATCTTGCATAATAACTTCTGAAACATAGTGCATAGGAAAAATAATCTTAAGAAATCCAGTTTTTCTCTAAAACCTCTGCCTTTACTTGCAGTTGATAAGAGGGACTTACGGTTTAAATTTTCTGATCACTATCGATTATTTGACTACCAACAAAAATGTTTCATATAGAGGTCTATCTATAAAAATAGTTATTGAATGTATGAAGTAAGAAATATTGTCATCTTTGGGATTGGGGAATAGCTGAATAAGGAGGAAAGAGAATATTGACTTGCATATATAAGTGTTCTTTGGAATGAAGTTTCACCATTTTCATTTTTTAAGATGTTCAGAGGAATAAATGAACCTTATAAAACCAACAACAGGCCATTTCTCAAGGGTAATGTTCTATCTTGCATGCTTATTTTGCATTGCTAACATAAGCAGTATAGGAATAATACATATATAACTTCTAATAAAATGGTCTCTTGGGATGGACTCCAAAATACAGAATTATCTTAAAGGAAAGAGAAAACCCATAACCTGTAAAAATCCTGGCCTTCTTATCTCTGACTCACTTTACATAATGATTTTCATTTTTTCTGTGTGTTACTTTTATATCAAGCTGTTATTGAAAACAAGCCAAGCTCTCTCAATCTTACAAAAACAGTAATAGCAGTTTTTGAAAGTAATATTCTGGTATAATTTCCTACCAAACATGAAAAATATGTAAAATTATTTACTTCAAAATAGGCCTTCCACTCATCCATGAGCTTGGGATAGCGAGACCAGCAGTCAGCAGTGCTGTAACAGAAATCAGCTCCTCCCTCCTCTGGTGGCAAAATTTCTATCTGGTACTGCAGCTGCCCAAAGAGGCCAGCCTCCACTGCTCCTAGAAAGGGTATGACAGCCAGGTAGTAATTCATACCTGTATCAACAATTTAAAAGGAGGAGGTGTTAACCACAAGCAAAATAAAAGTTCCTGCATAAAAAAATTAACTCTTCCATACCAAATGCAATCATTTCAAATTTCCAGATACAACTGTGATCAGCAGTGTGACATATGTACCAAAATGCACTAATGATTTTATCTGTATTGTTTTAGATATTATTTACAATATTCATTATATATATCTTCTTCAATAGTCTTGCATGAGCTGACAGTGTGCTGTATTTTTCAGGAAAGGGCAAACAACTGGGAAAAGTTAGTTCTTCATAGATTGCCATGGCAAATACATCAAAAGTCTCTCAGATATTAGTTTAAAGCTAAGTACAGAAAGACTAAGGGATACTCCAGCAATCTGTCTTAATTTAAAAAACAAAGCAAAATAAACAAAAAAAAATCACCAACAACAAAGCCAAACCAAACAAGAACAAACAAGCAATCAAAAAAAGAACAAAAAAAACCCACCCCAAAATAAACAAGCAAACAACAGAAAAACCAAACCAAACACCCTCTTAGATGCATTGTAGGCATATTAGAAATGAAAAGGGAAATAGTAGTGATATTTTACTGGAAAATAATTCTTTTGTTTTTCAAAAATATTCTACTCATTGAAAACTTCTAGGAAATCACCTCAGTTTTTTGTTTAGATTTATTTTACGATGGCTTCCTTTGGTCTGGTCCATAAGCTGGAACAGGAAGACCCAGCATGTAAGAAACACAGTTTCAGTTCTCACCAATGTTGGACCACATCTCCAACGACAGTGCTCATAGGGCTATTTGATATTCCTCATTTAAAAGGAGGATTTAAATTTTTCCTCTTAACTGTGTTTTCCTTGTAGAAATACAGTTTAATATCTTTCATTGAAGAAAAGCCTAGAGACCAGGTGTTCTCCCACTTGGGTAGGTGCTCCTGAGCCATTGCCCTGAGAAGTCGTTTGCTCATGTTTGGTCTTAAGACCATGGCCTGCCTAGGTATTTTGTGCACAGTCCCAGCAGTGAGGACCAAAATAATCAAAACCTGACCACCTACCACCTACCATGTATCCCTGTCCTACTTTATTCCATTATTCCACCTCCTGTATGTGGCTGGGAATTCACAGGAAGCATATGGCCAGTCAGAAGAACAAAGGAAACGTCCCAAGTGAAAAGAAGACAGTGTCACACTGAAAGTCATTGCTAAGCTAGGACTGGTTTCTTGGTCACTATTTCATAAGAAGAATTTAAACCTGGATTTCATGTCAGAAAGTACTTATATTCTTTTAAATGGCCTTATATACATTACATATTTATACTTGCCTGGGGGACTCAGAGGGCAGAAAACAATACAGGAAAGGACTATACTGAATATTATTCTAGGCAAAAATCATCAAAAGTAATCCAGGATTTTTTGGATGTTTTCATTTTTGTGAAAACTGAAGGATCTGAACATGTATTTTTAGAGATATTGAGGAAAGCACTGAAAATGTCAGCAACACTGACATTGGTAATTCAGATCTTTACACATCTCTCTATCTTCAGCTTGTTGCTACTTCTTGGGATAACAAAATAATCCCAGAATTTCAGCCTATTGGGATTTCAAGAACAATAATAGAGACAGAAATTGTCTAACAGCTCACGTATGCCGGGTCAAAGTATTAACTGAGTTTCAGCTGCATACTGAACAAGCCTGCTGGATAAATATTTTTAGTGTAATTAAAGTAATTATGTTATTTAGGTATTGTAGACATGAGGTCTATCTTTATTTCATTTTACTGGCCACAGTGAAGTTGTGGAGGTACAACTGAAGGGAGAAAAGTAATGTCAGATTAGTGCTACTGAGGGTGATGCAAGGATCCAGGTCCTGCACCTGGGTTGGCACAACCCCAGGCACAAATACAGGCTGGGGGCAGAATGGCTGGAGAGCAGCCCTGAGGAGAAGGACTTGAGGTTGATAGTTGATGAGAAGCTTATCATGAACTGCCAATGTGTCCTGCAGCCCAGAGAGCCAATTGTGTCCTGGGCTGCACCAAAAGAATTGTGGTCAGCAGGGCCAGGGAGGTGATTCTGCCCCTCTGCTCTGGTCAGACCCCACCTGGAAAACTGTGTAAAGTTCTGGTGCCCTCAGCACAGGAAAGACATGGAACTGTTGGAAAGGGTCCAGAGAAGGGCCACCAAGATGGTCAGAGGGCTGGGCACCTCTGTTATGAAGACAGGCTGAGAGAGTTGGGGCTGTTCAGCCTAGAGAAGAGGAGGCTCCAAGGAGACCTTAGAGCACCTTCCAGTACCTGAAGGGGCTACAGGAAGGCTGGGAAGGGGCTTTTAATCAGAGAAGATAGTGATAGGACAAGAGGTAATGGTTTTAAACTGAAAGAGAGGACATATACGTTAGATATTAGGAAGAAATTCTTCACTATAAGGATGGTGAGGAACTGGAATGGGTTACCCAGGAAGGTTGTTGATATCTCATCCCTGGCGGTTTTTAAGCCCAGGTTGGATGAGGTTTTGTGCAACCTGGTCTAGTTGTAGGGTTTCCTGCTCATGGCAGGGGGGGTGGAACTTGATGGTCTTTAAGGTCCAGTCCAACCGTAATGATTCTAGGATTCTAGGATTCTATGAAACACGAAGATTCCTGCTTGACATTCTCATGCTAAGTTTTACTTCAAAGTTCTAGCATCTAAACTGAACAGATCTGCTCTGAAGTAAAAGAAAACTGAAATTTCTACAAATGTCTACCTATATAGATATCTATCATGGTGTTTCCCACACGTTTTTACATGCATTTTTGCAGTGTAAACATTTTTAAGGCTGCAAATGTGCATTTTTTTCCCTTCCTCAAATTAGTTATCAAAGTCAACTCACTTTCATTTATTCATCACACTTAGGTGTCTTGATGCAAGTTTTTATCAGAGAATTATGGAGTCCTGGAATTACTTTGTATCACAGAAGTCTAAGGTGAAGAAAGATTCTTACTTGCCCTCTAGGATACTAATCATATTTTGAAGAAGAACAACGTAATAGTTTGTACTTACAGGACCACCAACTTCTTACAGATATGCACAGGAGGTCTCCATCTTCATAGCCACAGGGAGTAACATGAGAAGGATCTGCTAATCTGCCTGAATCACATAAAATAATACACCAAATATTTTGCAATCTTTTCCACACAAGAAATCCCACAGAGATAACATTTATATATATATGTATGTAGTAGTAAAGCATGCAGAAGTTTGCTCAGAGAAGCAGAACAATTACTGTTGTTTTGCTTCATAAACTACTGTTCCTAGAGTAGTTGAATTTCTCAGTCCATACTTCATGCACTACATAGTAATTTGATTGTATTTTACATTTCAATTTATTCCTCACTTTAAATGTATTCTGAGAATTTATGGAACTGTCTGAAAGTAGGACATAGGAGTGATATTTTTATGGAGATATAAATATACATGCACATATGGACGTAAAAACATACACAGATGATGCATAGTTTTCAATACATGCAGGGCTGCTAGTGTAGGAGAGCTGCTTAACAAGCAGAATAGCACGAATTAAATGTGCTAGTAATTGTCTCACCTAATTGGGTTGTATGATACACAATCCCTTCTAGTTTAATGATGCATACAAACATGGCCTTTCTGTGAAGTTAACCATGCAAACGTTGTTGTATCTGATTAGCAGGGTTTTCCAGCATCTGTGCTGTAGCAAACATGCAAGACATTTTGCAATTATCCGTGACACATGTAAAGCATATTTTGCTTTAAGCACATGATGTGGAGAAATAGCCTAATTCCTGAAAGCATAATGTACATATACATTATGTAGTAACTAGTCATGTAGTGAGTCAGGAAGTCTGCTTTAAGTGCAGGATGGGAATTACCATGGTCAGATCCAATGACTTGAGCTATTCCAGAAGATCTCAAACTCTGTCCTGCAGAGCACTTACCTTCTGACAAGTCAGCTGAGTGCCAACATTGTCATTTCTGTCAGATTAGAACTAAACCTCATTGCATTCTTCAAAAAAACAAACAAAATTTTCTGGTGCTATTTACTTGGGAAGAAGAGATGGTGATGAACCACGTGCATACACATTATCCTAATTATCCTCTCTAGCTGATGGGACAGAGCTTGTGCTTTGGGGCATGCTGGCTGCTCAAGCCTGCATCTTTCAGTAGCAGAGTAAGGGGAGCATGAACATGCAATGGTGAGAAATGCAGTTCAACAGGGTATTTTTTAATTAAAAATTATACATTGTAGTATTTACAGAAATATTTTTTTAAAGATTCTACTTTGACACAGGACATCAGAAATAGGCAGTGGTAGCTCAGTAATGTGCAAAGGGGAAGAATGGGAAGGATAAAAGGAATAATCGCACTTAAGATTTACCAAATATCGTTAGCTTAGGTGTTTTGGGAAAATGAAGAGTCTTGAGTAGTATCAGTGAAAATTATAAGATATGTCTAAATTACTTGGAGCTGGAAACACTAATCCTACTTCCACCTGGAGGTTTACACTCCAGGTCTGTCCTCTCTGCTCCCTCCTGTTCCCTGTGTTTAACATGATCTTTACTTCTGTCTTTAGCTCCACCCCAGCTATCTCAGACTTTGTGTGTGCTGACTGTGCTTCCCAGCTATGTGTCATTAGCAACTATGTGCAACCTCATCAGGAAAACCTCTGATGGTTTTTGTGGTACAGTTGTTAATGGAAGCTAAGTGCAATTTTCTCAAGAATGATTAACTGAAGAACTCTGAGCACATCCTCCATTCGGCTGTAAACTTGTCTTGGCAACACACAACACTAAACTCTCCTTTTTGTGTTTACTTATCAAATTTGAAATTCCTCTTCTCATTCTTATTTTGTAAATTGTCATTCCAAACTTCCATTCTATGCTTTGATTATACAGAGGGAGGAAACGCATCTCTGGGCTTTCGTAAAACATCATTTATTCCATAGTAGAAAATATCTGGTTAGTCTGACACAATCTATCTTTGACTCACATAATGTGCATTCTACCTCTTTTTCTGTTAAGCTCCATGCCATTAAGTATTCTTTCCTCTATACTTATTCTAATAGTATCTGTTGCTAATGTAAGAAAAATATATGGTTTTGTGTCCTTATCCCATTTTTCTTCCTAAAATATAGGTACAACATTTCCTAAACTTCAGACATATAATTCTATCTGAATCTTTCTTAAAGTTCTTGCTTCTGGATTTGCACTTTTACAGGTCACTTCTTCCAAGGGGGGATGGGAACTATCCAGTTTCATGTCTCTGTATAAGTAGGTATCTCAGTTAACTCCATCTCCCAAATGGCAATTTTTATTTCCAAAATCTCATTTCTATCAACCATGATGCTTCAATATCATTGTCTCTACTGTAAGTTTAGGCAAATTAGTAATTTTGGGTTTTGACCATGAGTAGATTATTGCAAATATTTGTACCGCTCTTATTAAATATTTTCCTTTGCTCTCTGAAGTTTACATAGGACCATATCAATAAAAGTATTTTCTAAAGTAATAAAACTTTCATGACCAGACAAAAAAATGTGTAGTTTTCATGGATCTGCTGTCCTGCATTATTAATTCAAATCCTTTCACAAGTGTTTCTGTATCTGCTTCCCTGGTTTGGCCAACAAGCAAACAAGAATGACTGCCCCAGATAACAACCAGCTTCTGAGGGATGAGTCATTAGAATTTGGACATAATTTAAAACAAGACAAAACCAGCAAAAAATGAAATTAACTTTTTTAAAAAAAAACCAAAAACACAACAAAAACAAAACAACAAACGTATTTAGAAAATAATAAAGCTACTCCTAAACTGATCAAAAATGGTGAATGGAAACAAATAATTAGAGGGAAAGGTGAACTTTTGACTACCTGTATTAGGAATGAAACTCAAACCACCAGTAAAATTAATAACATTAACAACCAAAAAAGCCTATCAGTTAACAACTTAAGAACAGAGCTGCAGAGTGCAGGACCTAAAATCTGTCTGCTGTAAATTGGAGCAACTGGGAATATCTTTTCAAAGATTTTTCAGCTAATTGAAACATTGCCGGTCTAAACCACAGATCTTCTGGAGTCTGACCAGCCTTGTGCTTAGCAATACCTTTTTCTATCAGGTAGTTTAACAGCTATTGCTCAAGAAGGCAATAGTGCTCCCTTCATTCAGGGCTTTTCTTTCAAATTGGCAGCTCAGGGTGACCCAAAGTGGGTGTGTTAAACATTGAACTGCTCTAGCAAGTTAAAGACAGCTCATACCTGTACGAAATTGCCACCCGTGCTGCAGTGGTAATCCCCAGAGAATATTGCCAAAATTTTGGGATCCAAAGGCTGTAAAATATTTAGCTGAAGACTTTAGCAAGATCTTATACATTCCCAGTCGTTCTGGATAGTTCCAAGCATTGATGACAGTTTTGTTGTCCTTTACTGGGAAATCCAGCAGGCTGTCATGGGCAAGGTCCCATAGGGGGGGGTAGACATCTTCAGTGGCATCTTTTCCACTCCATGCTGTGGCAGTCGATGGACTCAAGGTAGCAGTCATTAGAAGAACAGCATGTATGCCAAAGTAGGGCCACATTGTGAAGGTTTGTGACCCAGGTGTTTGTGGCTGCAGGGCTTTTATCATGGAAGGGGAGGGCAGGGCAAAAAAGGGTGACTCAGATTCAGAGGTCTCCATCTCCCTTACCTCTTTCCCGTGACCCTGACCTGGAGTGGCCAGACTAGCAAGATGTGAGTAATACTTTGTCCTCCCTGTGAGAGACAGGGAGCAGCAACAGATGTTTAAGAGGGATCAGTCTGACCAGGATATGTCCAAATCCGTGCTGCTGATGACACATATTCACCCTCCCAAAAGTCTGAGGTGCTATACTACTGATTGTACAATCATATTATCAGCATTTTTGTCCACAGAGATCACCCCAAAACAGACACAGGCAGGGTTAGGTTAGGGCCGAGGTGCTCTGAGAAGGACTCCAGGTGTCAACCAAGGAAAAGCAGTGACATGCAGTGGGTGCTGCCATTGTCACCTGTGTCTTTTGGCCCTGGGACAACTGCCTGCAACCTTCAGATTCCAAAGCATTGCAAGTAGCCAGATCAGCCTGGCTGCAGGCCATGCAGCACCTGGCTACCTGGTTCTTTTAGTGTTTGTTTGTCTTGTGTGAAAAATGGCCAAAGACTTCTACTAAACCTCCATGATCTTGTAGACTTCAAAGAGACCACAAGGCCATCCCTCCACTGATAAAATCAGTGTCTGATTAAGTTACACTCCAACAAAAATGAAACTATTCAGCTACCTTCACCTCACGTACTTCTAGGAATTTATAGTCTTAAGCTGCTTTTTTCTCAGATAAGCAATGATTACAAAAGAGCACTCAGCAAACAAATTAATAATTTCTTATCTCTGTAGTCTTTCTCTTGCATGAGAAAAATTGCAAATGCCCATTTTCTTTTAAGTAATTCTATGAGTTTGGATTGTGTTTTGTGTTCTTAAAGTACCCTAAAGCCAGGAGAAGAGCAAGTCAAAACTGGATGCAAGCCTTCTACAGTATATTTAAAATAAATGTGTCATTTCAAGATTTTTCCATCTTTACTCATTAAGGAAACTTTCTACTAAATATCTAATTTTTTCAATGGTCACTTTTTTATTTTTGGCTCCGTTATTGAGAAAGAAACCCAAAGGCTTTTGAAAAAAAGTCAAGGTTCAAAAGAGGTAAGCACAAATCTGAGAACACATCCTAATTGTGCTGCCTCATAGAGGTTTCAAATAATCAAATTATTTCATTAAGTTTTGGGGATTGGATTTATCTTTGCTAACTATGGGCATTCAAACATTAACCTAGCTATGTAGATTCCCTCGACAGGCAAAGCAGAGAATCGGACACGTCCAGAACAGAACTAATTTAAAATACACTACTAAAAGATGTATTATTCTTGACTGTCTGTAGAGGGAGTTGAAATTACAAATTTAGCTTTAGATACAGAAAATTACTTTCAGATTGGATAAAAACAATGTTTTTTTACCTTCTTTTACATAACAATTTTGGAAATGTTTTCAAATGTACTTGTTTTTCTTGAAAGAAATTGTTCTACAAAATAATCCTGAGGAGAAATGTCAAAAAATGTGTTGTCTATATATCTATATATAGAATCATAGAATCTGTTCTGGTTGGAAAAGACCTTTAAGATCATCAAGTCTCAGAACTGCCAAGTCTTCCACTAAACCACATCCCTAAGTGCTACATCTACATGCCTTTTAAATATGTCCAGAGATGGTGGTTCCGCCACTTCCCTGGGAAGGTTCTTCCAATGTCTGACAACCCTTCCAGTGAAGACTTTTTTCCTGATATCCAAGCTAAACCTCTCCTGACACAACCTGAGGTGGTTTCCTCTTGTCCTATTGGTTGTTACTTGGAAGATGAGACCAACCCCCACCTCACTACAGCCTTTTTCAGGTAGATGTGGAGAGCAATAATATCTCCCCTCTGCCTTCTTTTCTCCACGCTAAACAGCCCCAGTTGCCTCAGCTTTGGACAAGCTCCATCACCTCAGTGTCCTTCTTATGGTGAGGGGCCCAGAATTGAACACAGTACTCAAAGTGCAGCCTCACCAGTGCTGAGCACAGGGGGGAAATCCCCTCCTTATCCCTTCTGGCCACACTATTCCTGGTACAAGTCATGATGATGTTGGCTTTCTTGGCCACCTGGGCACACTGCTGGCTCATGTTCAGCCAGCTGTCAGCCAGCACCTCTAGGGCTTTTTCTGCTGGGCAGCTCTCCAGCCACTCCTTCCTAAGCCTGTAGCTTTGCCTGGGGTTGTTGTGAGTCAAGTGCAGAACCCAGCACTTGGCCTTACTGAAACTCATGCAATTGGCCTCAGCCCATCAATCCAGCCTGTCCAGGTCCCTCTTTATAGCTTTCCTGCCCTCAAGCAGATCCACTCTCCAGCCCATATATTACGTTATAATTGAAGTAATGAGCAGTGAGATTCACCTTAAAAACAAGGATGCTGAAAGGTGTTAGCTGGGGCACAAAATAGATGGAGAAAACCTGAGATTGTATTAAATAAAAGCACAAAGGTTATAATTGCACTAGAGCTGAAATTTTCGTTGGGAAAATGAAAGATTGATACATTCTAGTCATGAGGGATGTTCATACTAAAGTATTCAGTTTAATTTTTTTTGTTTAATTTTTTTTTATTTATTTATTTATCAGAAGCCATATACTTAATTGGGCATACACAGAGACACCAAAAACATAAAAAATAAATTTAGATTATTTGATAATGAATAATGTTCCAAATAAAATCTGATTGCTTCTATTTTAAGAGACAACAGATTCGTAGCTGTGGTGGGATATTTACTATATGCATTTTTTCTTTCCCAGATGAAGCAATTACTTCATCATGAGGCTGGCTGGGTGAAACAACTGGCTGCATAAATGGTTATAAAGACAAGTATAAATACAATGTCTCCAGAGTTCCAGTTCTTAATATTAAAAGAAGATAAACTAGCAGCAAGGTAAAAATACTGATTGAGGAGCAAGCCTACACACATGATGTGTGACGGGTACCTGATGCTTTTAGATGTAATCTTTCAGATCAGAGTGCTCCAGAGGAGTACAGGCAATACACAAATTTTCTGAGCAGGTTCACTTGTAGGACCAGTGTTAAGGTGTGTATATATATAAAATAAACAAACAAACAAAACACAAAAAACCCCAAATCCCCTCCATCAGACCTGAAACAAGAATATTTGAATTAACTTATATTTTTCATTTTCATAACGATATTATGGAGGTGCTATTGCCTTATAGGTTAGTTCAGATGATATCATAACCTTAATGTCTTCTTGTTATCTTCAGCTGAAAAGGAAAAAGTTACACTAATCACAGAGGTAAATATCTGTAGTATGTAACACCTACAGACATATGGTCTTCATCATAACCTTGTCAACAGCACACACCATAAAATACATAAGCTTTATTTTCATAACATGGTGGAATTCATTCCTTTGATGCAGACCACACAAAACCCCCTCTCTTGTACTTAAAATTTAGTGAAACTAAAATAGATAGATACATTCCTGAGAGCATTAGAGTTGTAAACAATTGTCTGATGTAGGAAGATGAGAATACATTTTAATACGACTATTTTGTCTCAAAGAGAGTTACTCAAATACAGCCCTAAGTCTGCTGATATATTCAAGGAAATTTTTTGGCTGTTTGTATATCACTATGGAAAGAGTAAACTGCAGAAAAAAAGCACCAGAATTACACTGTGAGTTGGCTCTTTTTCAAGCTTTCATTAATTATGCATCAATTTATAAGACAGATTAACTGAATCTTCAGTTGTATTTTTAGCATGGCATTTTAATTAGATGAAAATGAGAATAAGTGGGAATAACTAATTAGAAAAAATTAGCATCATGGCAAAGATTCATTAAAAGAGAGGCAAACACATCCAAAGCAGTAAATCTGTAGCTAGATGCTAGTGCTCAGATTAGCTGATGTGAAGTATATAAAATGACAGCATCAATTAGAAACTTGGACCAAAACAGCTTTTTTGCCATTTGGAAGGAATAAACAATTAATTCAGAAATTTAAATCAGAAGATATTTTCACCTCTTGAAACTCAGAGACTGCAGAGAAAATTTTCAGAAGAGTGTGATCCATCTTCTTCCAGCTGCAGCCATTTTCTCTAGACTGAAAAAATAAAAAGAAGGGGGAAGGGAGAAGCTTCCTTGCAAGAAAGGAAAGGAGAGCTAGCAAAAATGTTTCTCAAAGAAATAAATGAGTCTTTATTGTGTAAGCAGGAAAAATAAATTTTGGTACAAGATAACTCAAAAGAAATGTAATAAAATAAAAGACAGGAGATATAAATCATCCTTACATTTATTGCCTAATTTTGTTTCTGTCATGAGAAAGAATAGCACTCTTGTTGCTTCTAATTGATATTCTGTGTCAGTACACCACACAGTAATTTGGTTCTGTTGTTTCAGTCGAAATGACAGAGGGGAGAAGGGTGATTTTTAAGAAAAAAGAGATTTTAGCCTTGTTTAGTTAAGTGTGAATAATCTGCTAGAAACAAATTCCAAATCTATTTGATTAAATTAAGATGTATATTTAACATATGCTTCCTACACCAAGGCAGTCATTTTTGAAATATAATCATAGTACTATAGACCTAGGAAAGGTATCTGAGGACCAAAAACATACATGGGCAGATATTAAAGGGACAGACATTAGAGGGCTGACTGACTATTGACAGATACTTGCACAACAAAGCTAGCATTTTGAAATGAAATCTAATTATAGTATACGGAGAGATGTCACATCACCAAGTTAAGAGATGATAGAAAGCACACTTTTAAAAACAGAGTAGGACAATGATGAGAAATATTTCTGTTCTCCATTTTTTCATGTTTTGGTTTCACTTGGCTTTACTTTTAGATTGCATCCCAGACTCCAATACCTGGCTGTGCCCAATGACTCAGCGTTTGAGGTTTCTCATATGACACATATGAGGTTTCTCATATGTCCTCATGTGAAATAGGACATTTCATACACACTAATATCAATTTCA